GGCCCCCCGGCCGGGGCCCCCGGCCTCTCCCGGGGCCAAGCAGGGCCCTGCCGGAGCGCAGTGGGGCCGGGGACACGTGCTGTGCGGGCGGCAGCCGGAGCAAGGGCTGTGACCGCAGCCTGGGGGCTCCTGCAGCAGCCGAGGGATCCGCAGGGAGAGAAGGTCCCTGTCAACACAGCCTGGCCTTCTGGGGACAGGGCACGGGTGGGGGAAATCTTGGGGTGTCGCTTTTTTCCAGTGGCACAGGGCATGGCCTGGGGGGAACACCCGGAGCCCTGCTCTGCTATGCTCTCCCCTCTCCCTCCCCTCTCTTTCAGACTTTGTTCCCATCGACCTGGAGGAGTGGTGGGCACAGCAATTTCTGGCCAAAATCGAAAACTGCTCATAAAGGGGAAGAAAGGTTTGGGGTTTTTTTCCTTCTTTTTTTTAAAGAGAAACAAAGCTGAGAGCATCTGGTCAGAACCCAGAGCCGGTGGCGTTTTAGAACCACATTTTTAAATGATGACCGAAATCAAGTGACCCACGCTGCCAGCCCAGCGGGACCGGACCACAGCCATGCCCGGCCGCGCGCCCCCTCCCTGCACCCAGCGTGGAGGAGCAGCGTGCGGCCCCAGCCAGGATTCCTTAAGTGCCAGTTCTCGGACCGCTGCAGCTCCTGCAGCCCCCAGCTTCCAGGGACACTGCGGTGCCATGCTGAGGATGAGGAGTGGATCTTCCCCCTGTGGCCGGAGCCGTGGGGAGGACAGCCGGGTGCTGTAGCAGGACTTGCTGACAATAAAGCGCTGAAACTGCCAGTGGAGAGGCGCTTGCGGGATGGGGAGGATGCGTTTGCAGGAGGTGATGAAGCAGCCAGGGTGCAGCATCGTGCCCGGGGCTGGCGTGGAGCCATCCCCATGGAGCGGGATGCTCGTGGCCCAGTCCTGGCTGAGCGGGTGCCATGCTGCCCAGGAGGAGAAGGGCTTGGAGCATCTCCCTGTCCTTGGAGCTGCATCCCTGCCCTGGTGCTGCCCCATCTCCCTGGGCTCAGCCAGGGGCTGGTGTTGCCTTGGGGGTGGGTTTGGGACGGGGGGAGGACACGTACAGCATCTGCAGGTGAGGTGGGCAGGGGGCTGTGGGCCCTGGCTGTGGTTCAGAGCCAGGCTGCAGCATGCAGGTGGGTAAGGCTTCAGGAATGAGGGGGCCAGGGCCAGCCCCCACTTCCATGGAGGTCCTTGACATTCCTGCCAAAAGCTGTTTTGAGCCCCCAGGGCAAGGTCATCTCCTGTTGGGATGCAGTGGTTGTGGCTGCCGGCAGTGGAAGGGAAGGGGGAGCCCTACTTCTGTTCCCAGAGGCACTGGGCAGACAAAAAAAAAAAAAACTTGGGCCATGGACTTTTCCAGGCAGGGTTGAGCCTTTCCAGGTCAAGTTTTGGGGTGGAGGACCCCCCCCCCCGCCCTTCTCTCCCC